TGTTCGTCCGCAGCTGCAGCAGTTCATGCCGTACGACTATATTCCAGTGGACATAAAGACGGAGCCCTTCATGCCTGAGACAGGTGAGCGTTCAGGACGTCAGGTCAGACTATGGAGCAGGTCGCAGCTCGTTTTTTCCTCCTTAATCAAAAGATGCGGAGGAAACAGCATCAATCTGCAGACTCTCGTTTGTGTTTCTGTTGTTTAAGTCAGTTTGTTGCCTTTAACACACTGACCTCCTGTCTGAAGCATCTCACTGGGTGTCACAACATCTGGTTTAAAAAGGTCAAAGGTGACGTGTCTGACTGAGAACACACGAGTGTATTTGAACCCAAGCCTTGTCCAGAGCCTTTCACCATCTTTAGGTTTTGTTACAACCTCAAACAGCTCAGGGTGACTCTCTGATCCTGCCCCGGGGGCGCCCCAGTACCCCCCCTCAGTTTAGAAACATGTACAGTCTGGGTTTCATACCCAGAAGTGTGTGTGTGTGTGTATGTGTGTGTGTTAGTGTGTTAGTGGGCATCAGTGCTGTAACATGTTACAAGAAACTCCAGCGAGTAACAGAGTAACACCTGGTCATCTCCAACCTTCTAGAATTTACTCGTCTGGTAACATTTTGCGTCTCGCTGATGAAATAGTGAAAGTTGACTTTGAGAAACGATCAGTCACAGCGCCTGACGAGTGTTTCTTCTTCACCTGTGTTTGTGTCGTAGCTCACGGCCCGTACATCCAGATCATCGAAGAGCCCAAACAGGTGAGACTCGCATCGTACTTCCTGTTTCTCTACAAACACGACGAGGCAGCAGCGGAAACACGGAGGTGACAAAGATAAAGATCGAAGCAGTCGTCAACAACGTAGCGCAGCAATAAGACGCAGACGGCCTGATAAACCTGGATCATTGGTGGTTCAGATCTTTAACAATTTAAACGTGATTGTTCCTTTGTTGGTCAGGTGGCGTGATTAACAGACGCCAGCATTACCGATGAACGTTCATTAAGTGCTGCTGATGGTGTCGCGCAGGGATCAGAGTCTCTGCTTTGTCCAGTTTGATTCCCCTGAGCCTGAGTTTACATCATAACACTAACATCTCATCCTGATGTTTTAAAGTAGAAAAACTCTGACAATACAA